GCTACACCTTTATTGACACCTTCCATTCGATAAAATTTAATAAAGTATTTTTTAAACACTGTATGGACACTTTAATTAGGGCGCAAAATTCCAGACCTGAAAACGTGTCGAACGCGATTTCAAGAACTGTCATTTTGAATTGCTCTAACTCTGAATATATTCACGGGAACTGATTTTTTCACTTTACTTTGTGACGATACACAGTAGAGTTCCCTAGTCAGTATTAGGTAGTACTTTCTCAAAATTTTGCAATCGACTTTTGACCAGTTTTTTTGAAAAATCGGCCACTGTGCAACGTCAGACTTCGAAACCCTGATAGTCTAGAAAAAGCTATGAGTTTAGAAGAAAATTTTTTGTATTCTACCCAAAAAATAAACTCTATTAATACTCAAACATCTTTTAGACCTATTAATCGAATGGCACCTGTGAGACCAAATAATTACCCAAGGCCTCAGCCAAGAAATTATCCACCAAATTCTTACATACCATACCCACGACCTAGTTTTCAACCTTTATTTTAAAATCAGAACCCAATTTCTCATATTTTTAGACAAAACTGGCAGCCAACTAACATTTTTCCCAACAATCCACAGCAACCATTTTCACATCAAAATCAATTCAATAAACCCCATCAATTCCATAATTTTAAACAATGTTCTACACGAAATAATTTTAATTAAAATAATTATAATATAAATTTTAAACCTGAACCAATTGACACTTCGTCTGAAAATACCGTGTTACATCCCCAATCAATTCAATTTAATTACCAAGAATATTTTTCTGAAACGAAAATATTTTAGACAATTACGAGTATATGCCATGAACATCTCATGATAATTATGCTTACCCAATTAATTTTAATGGAAATCAAAATTTTAATGAATACAATTATGATAACTCTATTCAAAACCAATCGCAGCCAGGAGATTCCAAAATCTGGAATCAGACCAAGAAATCCAAAACCCAGAAACACCAAATTTTTGCAAAACTCAACCCCAACAACCTAACGTAATACAGTTAAATAATATAAAAAATATTTTACCCCATATCTTTATTCCTGAACTAAACGCAAATTTTTTAAATGACAAAGGAAGTAGTATAATTATTACAATGGGTCAAACATTACTTAGGCTTTCAAAAAATCCAGAATAAAAAATAAATAAAAAAATCAAAAATAACATTTAAAATAAAATTTACAAAAAAGGTATCAAAAACGAGTGTTTCCACCTCTCGCACGAATAGCATCTTGGCATCGTCGGCCCATACTTAAAATAAGCTGTCTAATTTAATTTTGGTCCAATTCTTCCCAGATTTGAATTAGCCTCTCCCTTAACTCTTCCAGGTTATTAAATTGGATTTGTTCCGCTCTTAATAGCCTATTAAGGATATCCCACAAGTTTTCTATAGGATTTAGGTCGGGACTACGGGCTGGCCATGCCATCACATTAATTTCGACCTCTTCCAGATAATTTCTGACAACATGTGCAACATGCCGCCTGGCGTTATCTTGCATTAACAGAAAATTGTCACCAATATATGGGGCAAAAGGTACTACATGTTGTTCTAAGATATCTTGTATATACCTTTCAGCTGTCAGACTTCCATTATTTATGACCACTAGTTCCGTACGTGCCCTCAAAGAAATACCCCCCCAAACCATAATGGATCCTCCTCCAAATAATGTGGTGTTTGAGAAGTTGCATTGGGCATAACGTTCGTTGGGCCGTCGAAATACACGAATACGTCTGTCGTTATTATATAGACAATATCGGGACTCATCTGTAAAGAGTACACATTCCCAGTAAGCCTCTAACCAATTTTCATGTTCTCTGGCAAAACGTAGTCTTTCTCTTCGGTGGTTCGGCGGTTAATGCAGGACCTCGGGCAGCAATTCTAGGCCTTAAATTAGATTCTCTGAGGCGTAGTCTAACAGTTTCAGCACTAATTTGCAGACCGTGAACCTCGCGAAGTTGAATTTGTAGGCTATGAATTGTCACAAAACGCTGTCGAAGAGCCAAAATTCTTAAAAACCGATCCTGATTTGGTGTAGTGACTCGATTTCGTCCTTGTCCCACTCTGCGGGCATGATCTCCTGTCTCTAAGAATCTTTGTAGTACTCGTGAGATGGTTGTATGACTCACATTAAACCGACGACCAATTCTTCGGTAACCCCAGCCTTCTTCCCGTAATAGTACCGCTTGGGCACATTCATCGCGAGTCAAATTTCGATTTTGGCGCTCCATAATAAACAAAATTAATGAACTTAAATAAAGAAGAATCACCAAATAAACACTTGATAAATAATTTAGCATATTTATTATTTCTTTGCTTTTTGTGTATTTTGGCAAAAAAGTATTAATAAAACATATAATTTATAAATTTAAGTACAACAAAAAAGTTTATACGAGTGGTTTACCAAGTATGATATTATACCGGAAATTTTTATAAAGGAGAACAAAATATCTTAAAATATTATAGTGGTGCGTTAATTTCTTGGAGAAGTGTATTTAATATAAATGAAACACATAAGTTTTATCTTTTTAAATTTAGTCAGAAATATGACGGCATCATCGGTGTAGATTTATGGCGGGTTTACGAGTCACTCGCGTGCGTTTGAGGTTTGCGTGCGTTTCCTGGGCCTTCGCGTCATCGCGTTCTTCCTGACGCGACCCCATTTACGAGTTTTAAACGCGCGCGTTTGCTCACCTTCGAACGTCAGGTTCCTCAGTGCGTGTGTTTTTTTGATTTCGTCTGATCATACTTTGGGAAAATGGACCCATTTTTATATCGTCGAACCGTAATAGTAATAAATTTAGCTCGTCTGCTAATTTTACTGAAAAAAAAATACAAGCGTCATCGCCGGTTTGGTGTTCGTCCCCTATTCCAAAAAAGAATCGAACCGGGTGACGGACATAACCTTATCCGGGAGCTTCGTTTCGATAGTGCTCTGTTCTTTAATTATACAAGACTTACGTATGAAAGGTAAGGAAATTTGATAAAATCAATCAAGGAGCGTGTTTAGAAGTCACGGCGGAAGTCTTTGATGTGCGATTTTATGTATAAATATTACTTTGTAGGTTTGATTATCTGCTGAACTTGGTTTCGCCCCTTGATTGATGAAGAAAAAAAAAGATAAGAAGACAGTCATCACACCTAACCAACGCCTTGCAATTCGGTGAGGATATTTTTTATATAAACCCCAAACAATAATATGAGAATAAGTATCGATAACTATTTGTTAATGTCATATTTAATTGCCTGCAGGTACTTGGCTGTCGGCGACTCCAAGGCTACGTTAAGTTTTGCATACAGATGTGGGCGAGCAACTGTTTCTGTCATTGTACGGAAGACTATGGCTGCTATTATTAAAGTATTGCTCAAGTATGTTTCACTTCCCTCAACAGCTAATTAGTGGAAAGAAATTGCTTCTGTGTAAGTTTTTTTCATTGCTTTTTATTTTTTCCTATCCCCTTCTGACTGTTAGGTAATGTGTTTTTGTTTGTCTTGCAGGTTCTGGAATAAGTGGAACATCCCACATTTTGTTGGTGCAATAGATGGCAAGCATATACAAATTCAGTCACCAAAAGCAAGTAGGAGCTTATACTTTAACTAAAAAAACTTTTAGCACAAATTTGATGGCTGTGGCAGATGAAGACTATGCTTTCATTGCTGTTGATGTTGGAGGAGAAGGATCACTTCATGATGCGGCTATATTCAGAGACTCTGTGTTTGGCAGAAGATTTTATAACAAAAAACTTAACATTCCTCAGAAAGATGTCCTTCCTAAAACTAATATTGAACTGGATTATTTTTTTGTTGGTGATGGTGCCTTTCAGCTTCGAGGCAATTTACAACTATAGGGTTAGTAGAGCTCGTAGAGTTGTTGAAAATGCATTTGGTATTCTGGTTGCTTGTTGGCGTATTTTTTGTCAGCCTCTGTGCTGCAATATTAAAACTGCAGATTTGATTGTTCTAGCATCTGTGTGCTTACACAATTTCATAATACGTTCTCGAGATGTAGTGTTAGGGAGCAGTACATGCCTGAGAGATTTTGTGATGTAGAATTAGATGACGGTAGTATACAAGATGGAGCCTGGCGCAACCATGTAGCTGGAGCTGTGTCGTGGCAAGAAGAACGAGCGAGGAAAGGTTTCTGGGGTGCACATATTTCTGGAGAAGTAAGAGCAGAGGGGAAACCAAATAGTGATGATGAGTTTGCACTTGATGATCCTGGAAGTGATGAAGCATAGCCATGTTTTTAAGTTTCTTCATACATTTCTACATTTTTTTGTCATTAGGGAATGTTTATTGAGAGAATTTCTAAGATTGCAGGGAAATTTAAAAAATAAATTTTGTATGAACTCTCTCTTGCAGTGTCTGACTGTAATTGTTTAGATTGAAATAATTTTTTTTACTTTCAAAGTTTTTTAATTCCATATTAAGCAAACAAACTGTAACATTTTAAGGTAGGTGGGGTGAAACAATGAAACTCACAGAATGCAAATAAACAATTTTTAAAAATCTGAACATATACAAAAATACAAAATATAAAAATAGCACATAAATAAATATTTAAAATAAAAAAAACATAAATACATAAATAAAATCTCTGAACGTAAATAAAATAGAAATCTCTGAACAAAAATAAATAAAAAATAGCACATACCTAATACATAAGTAAAATAAAAAAAACTCTGAACATAAATAAATACAAAAATAGCACATAAATACATAAATAAAATAAAAAAAAACTCTGAACATAAATACAAAAATAGCACATAAATAAAATACAAATCTCTGAACAAAAATATATAAAAAATAGCACATAAATAAAATACTAATCTCTAAACAAAAATAAATACAAAAAATATAAAAATAGTACAGGGGATTATGGAATCATAATAAATTTGGGATAAAAGCATAACACACATCTCTGACAGGTCCCTAATGTATTGCACTTCCAGAATAATTAATAATAACTGTCCAGTAGACAGTGTCTATATATATTGGTGATCATTTTCATTTACCTCTGATGACACCATAGCATCCTCCATTTCACTCAGCAGGTTCCTGAAGTCCCTCTTCCATTTGTTTTTAATCAATGGATTTTTTATTTCGCTGAGGGCCTTGCCAATCGAGTGGCCCAACATCATTTCTGGTCTGTCGCTTTGTGACAACTGGCTTTCAATGGAGGTGACAACTCGACTTATCTCAAGTGCCATATCAATATCTTTTTTGGCCTTGCTTCTCTTCTCCTGAGTCTGGGTCTTGTCCCTCTTTGGAGAAAGAATAGCCAGGTTCTTAGCTGGTTGTGATTTTGCTTTTTTATTATTGGCATATCCTCTATCTCAGCCACTGTGCATGTTGCCAACTTTGTTGGAGAATGCCTACCAGGGCTTCTTCTTGGCGACTTTACTTTGTTGGTAACTGAAATCATACCATGTTATAACTTTTGCTACACTCAGATAACAAAAAGAAGTTTTTAAATACACAAACAGCTTACCTTCATTTAAAACATCCCACATTTTAAAGGATGTTTGGCAATCTGGAGATTGACTTAGGTCTAGGCTTTCATTAGCTAAAATAATCTCATTGTCTAGGCTTTTATAAAAAAAAATGTCATTATTATCCTCTTCTTCATTGCCTTTTTGAGTTGAGGCATCACTTTCAGTATCTTCAAAATCCACAGTAGAGATGCTTCTGTAATAAAAATCAATTAGTAACTTAATTTTAAAAAAGCCATTGCAATGATATTTCCAATTATTTATTAAAAATAACTTACTCTCGCTTGCGTACATACGCCTGCAGAAAAGAAAGCTGTTCAAAGAAAGAAAACGGCTTCCTCTTGGACGCTGCGGACCCCGAGAGGGACTCGTTCTCCTTTAGCCTTTTTTCTCGTACATATGCATCACGCAGCGATTTCCATTTGGCTGCAATTTCAATGGAGGTGCCTTAAACCAAATAAAGAGAGGTTGGGTTCGAGTAGCAGATGATCAAACAAACTGAGAAGCACAACAAGGTAAATTTAAAGTTTTGGTGAGCATTACAATCAAAACTGCATATTAGAACAACTTACATCCCGTCTCTTTGGTGATTGTAGCCCAAATATCACTTTTTGCTTTAGTGTCCCAATAGTATCCATTCTCCTTATCGTATAAGCAGGGGTATTGAGACACCTTGGAGATTATCCTCTTCTTGAAACGTTCCTCCGCCTCCTTCTCTTCTTTTAATTTCTTTGGGGCCTTTGGGGGCATAATGAAAAACTTTAATATACTTTTAACCTCAATTATGCACAACAAATGCGGCAAAAATTATGTTTGACACAACACGATCCCATTGCCCACCATGAGTTAAATAAGTCGCGCGCGTTGGCTAGCTCGCGTAAACGCGAACTCGAAACGCACGCGAGTGACTCGTAAACCCGCCATTACTGAAACAGCTAAACGCGAATGTTAACATAGAAACTAAGATGCTTACAACGCCTTATTCAATGATTCCCATAATATACGAGCTCAAACAAGGAACCAAAGAAAACTACGATTAAATTACTATATTAATATTCCTGCACGTGTAGAACAAATAGTTAAAATTCCTTTAAATATGAATTATGATGGTATAGGAGTTTTAAATCATTTAAAATTTGATAAAGTAACCGAAATGCAAAGGGCTTTAGTTAATGTAAAAAATAATTTTGCAACAATCCCAATTATAAATAGTAACAAAAATTCCGTTAAAATAAATTCTGAAGAACCTTTAAATATCTTAGAATTTTTGAAAAAATAGAACTAAATGAAAATTTTGATACTTTTAATAATTTTGATAACCCTTTAAAACAAAATTTAGCGGATAATTTATAAAAAAGGAAAGTACAATACAAATGCCGACGCAATATCAGTTATCGCAATAGAAACCGAATCAGTCATAAATAATCCGGGAGAAGTAAATCAAGATATTTTAGAATGTTTTGAAGAATTTTCTAAAAATATACAATTAGACAATAAAGAAAGTAATCAAAACCAATTAGAAAAAGAAACTCAAAAAGTTAAAATTTTAAAAAACATTAAACTAGTACCCTCACAAACAATTAATACGGTTAATAATTCGAGTAGTGTTGACTGCAAATATCGGTATTCCCATATTAGATGTAATAATAAAACGAATCAAATTTTAATTCTACCCAATGTTCATAATAAACTTGACACAGTACAAACAATTCATTTTCAAAAGTTAAAAATTTTAAATGTAAAAATTCCTAAATATAATGAAGATCTTGTTTCTAAATTTCTTAAAGAATTTACATCTTCGGGACATTTTATTTATACTTTTTTGATAACACACTTTACGAAACATATACGAGGTTTGTTCAGAAAATAACGGGAATTTTCGTTTTTTGAAAAAGATATTTATTTATTGGTCTACATTAAAGTTGTCGCCTTCAAAATAGTCCCCATTAGATGTTATGCACTTGTGCCAGCGCTTCTTTTAATCCTCTAAACTCTTCTCAAACACGATCTTTGGGATAGTCTTTAGTTCTTTCAGCGATGCGGTTTTAATGTCATTTATGCTTGCAAAACGGGGGCCCTTGAAGGTTTTTTTATTTTGGGGAATAAGAAAAAGTCAGACGGAGCCATGTCTGGCGAATATGTAGGCTGGGGCATCATTACAGTATTGTTTTTGGCAAAAAATTGTGTTTAAAATTCAACAATTTTGGAACAAATTTTGCTGCCACGCGTTTCATATCCAAAACAATCAAAAAAATTATAGTATAAGCCAACATCATCAGCAACTTCTCTGATTGTGATTCGGTGATCGTTCATAACCATTTCTTCCACTTCTTCCATGTTTTTATCGGTTGTTAATGTGCTTGGGCGTCCATCTTAAACGTCTTTACGGCCATCTTGGAAACTCTTATATCACTTATAAACTCTTGTTTGACTCATAGCAGACTCACCATAGGCCTTTGTTAACATTTCACACACTTTATTTGATACAAATTCTTTGATCCATTTCTTTTAACGAACGAAAATTGCCGAGCTCATAAAACACGTCTAACCTTAGCGGCTGCCACAGACAAAGTAAACAATGAAAACATATAAAAGTTGTATCATTCTTCAGGGGTATGTATACCAACATAATAAAGACAATTTTATGACAACCGGACTCTTCAATCCCGCGAAATTTAAAAATTCCCGTTATTTTTTTAACACACCTCGTAATATATATGTTTAAAAATATATAAAACAAATAATCGATAAATTAAATATTCAAGGACCTGAACAAATTCATTTAAAAAAAATAATATAGTTTATAAAAAAATATACAGGTGTGGTAAAATGTAAAATAAACATTAATTAGGTTTTTAGAGAATAATAAAGTAAAAATAGAAAACTGTAAGACAAAAAAAGTGGAAACTGTACATATTAAGAAATTAAAAATACCTTCTGTTGTTGCAGATTCCTCTTCCACGTAATATATATATATATATATATATATATATATATATATATATATATATCTGTGGGTAAAAGGCATAAGGGGATAAGTCAAAAAAAGAAATTTTTTAATAGAGCCTTTAACTTGTTCGCATTAATTCAGGAAACATATTTATGTTTAGCGGGTATACGTTTTTGTTAGCATATGACATGTGCTAGCAAAAGGGTATACCCGCTAATCATAATTATGTTTCCTGAATTAATGCGAATACTTTTAAGGCTCTACTGAAAAATTGCTTTTTTTGACTTATCCCCTTATGCCTTTTACCCACAGATATAGAACCAATTAAATTTCATAAATTAACTTCCAACCCAGGGCTCTTACCCATAAAATTAGGCAAGGCACAATTACAAACCAACTCTTGGTGGTATTCAGATATATTAAATTACAAATATAACTGACGAATTCAACTTCCTTTGCAACCTATATTTGTCAATAAAAAATATTTTTAATAATTCCACTCAAAATTCTAGTTTTCATCAAGACTATTTTAATTCATATCGCATTTTAGATTCAATTGAAACAAAAATTAAAAATCAGTTTATTCAAATTAATCCTTCAATAAATCCCAGAAATAGAAGAGGGCTTATAGATGGTCTAGGTTCAATCATTAAAGCAATTACCGAGAACCTTGATCAAAAAGATGCAGAAAAATATGATGAATCAATAGAAACACTTCTTAATAACCAACATCATTTTAAATCCTTAATCAACGATCAAATTAGCTTACTACAGATATCAATCAATAAATTTAAAAACAACTTTCAAATATTATCAAAAAATCAAAATATATCAAAAAACAAAATAGAACAGCTCGAAACGCTTTTTAACGAAAACCGTTTAACGACTGCTGAAATCTTTCACTTTCATTTGCAAATAATATTTTCGCAATTGTCTATTATGTTTCAATTAATTTATGATATATTAGAAAAAATACAAATTGCAATTACATTTTCAAAATTTAATACATTACACAACTCAATTATAGATCCAAAGGACTTAATTAGCGAAATTTTAAACATAAATTAACATCTTTATAATCAAAAACTTCGATTTAAACCTGAATTAGAAAATATTCTGCTTTTCGAAAAAATTATAAAAATCAAAAGCTATGTTAAAGAAAGTAAAATCATTTTTATTAAAGTGCCTTTAGTTGAACAACAAAATTTTAATATATTTCACCTATACCCATCTCCTTTATTTACAAATGATACCTTTAAAATCATAATTCCTAAATCCAAATACCTTATTTTAAATGAGCACAATTTTGCATTACTCAACGCAAACTGCGTTATTGTAAAATCAGAAGAATAACTATGCCAAAATACTGATGATGTTCTAAACATTTCCGAAGTCTCCATGTGAAGTTCAACTATTACAATATTTAAGTAATACCAACAATTGCCAACAAGTTCCAGTAGCTGTATCCTCTCTTATGGTTCAAAATCTAGGAAACAACCGATGGATCATCATTAGCTCTACATCTTTAGTAGCTAGAATTAATTGTGCGGATAATAAGAACTTATTTCCAATAATCGGGAGTTACGTGTTAGAACTTAAAGACAAATGTGAAGTGCAAATAAACGATGTTGTTTTAAAAGGTTACTCCGATTCCAATGTAATTTTGAAAAATATTGATCTGCCCCATTTACAGTTTACAGAGATTTATAATGAAAAAGACATTAAAGAAAATAAAATTCAACTTGAAAATTTAGATTTAGATGATATAAAACTATTCATAGTGCATTAAATAATGGTTTAGATGACGCTCCAATTCATTTCCATAGAGTTAGTGCATATATGCACCATAGAGTTAGTGCATATATGCATATTGCCACAAAAGTGAGTAATCGCTGGTCTCTCGACTAAAAAAATATAATATATTGCATTTTAAATAAAAATTACATAGATTTACCTTTGTTTTAAAAAGTTTAAAAAAGCTGTTAAGACAATTTCGTTAAAAAAAATCCAGCGTTACTTTTTTTAAATAAAATATGTCTGAAATATCAGTCCCGTGCCTTGTCCCTTCCATAAGTTCAAGTAATAATCTAGTAATTTTTGTTAGACAGAAAATGTTAAATGAAATAATTTGCTAATAAATGTATTAACATGAATATGTTATTTTACAAAACTAGTAAAGTTAATACAAAAAACTTATATTTTCTAAGTAAAATGCCTTTAAATACATGTCTTTGTTAAAAATGTCAGTCCCGGGTTAGTGTTTTTAAATTGTGAAAAGTGGGGATAAAAAAGGCGGGAATCAAGTTTGGGCGGTTAATTTCGTTGCATATTGACTTAGTCTTCTTTTAAACATAGATGAATAAACACGCAAATTGTTTAATGCCTTATTAAAAATTAATGAAAACCGATTTTGCACGTGTTAACCTGTTGTTTCGTCAGTTCCGGGTGCCCAGAAGTTTGGTTTGTTTCAGTGTTAATTGTTATTTAAGGCAGGTTAGTATAAGTAAATTATTATTTAGGTTAGATTTAGATAATAAAAATCTTCATAATATTTTAATTTAATTTTTTATTTGCAAATAACGTGAAAATTGTCAGTTCCGTGCCGTCAGTTCCGTGACAATTTATGAACACGGGACTGATATTGTATACACGGAACTGACTTTCCTCTATCATTTTGTTACTTTTACAACTCTGATTGCAACAAATCTTTTTTATTTTACAGATTAGTTATGGGAAAAACTCGGGGAAAAGATACTAAGCTTAGCTCAGAGGAAAAAAAAAGAGCGAAAACGGCAACGAG